AAGAGAATACAGGGAGCCTGGGTTAAAGGATCTTTTTCAGGTTGCAAAGACATAACTAGTGGAGTGTCACAAGGATTAGTCTCAGTGTCTCAATTATTTACAATCTATGTTAATGGCTTGGAGGGTGGGCAGAGTGTAATGTATCCAAATTTGCTGATGATTGAAAAATAGTTGGGAGGACATGTTGCAATGAAAACATAGGAAATCTACATAGGAATGATGATCAATTGAGTGAGTGGGCAAAAACTTGGCAGATTGAGTTTAATGTAGGTGAGTGAGAGGTAGGAGGAATTAAAAGGCAGATTGCAATGAAATAGAGAGAAATGCAATACAGAGGCATCAGGGTGTTCTTATGCATGAAACAGCAAAAGTAGCATGCTGGTGCAGCAAGTAATTAAATGAAATTGTGGCCTTTATTACAAGGAGTTTGGAGTTTAAAAACAGGGAAGTCTTATTACAACTGTGCAGCATATTGGTGAGGGTGCACTCAGAGTACTGTGTACTGTTTCAGTCACTGTATTTAAGAAAGAAGATACTACTGGCATTACAGTCAGTTCAAAACAGAATCACTAGGTTGATTTCTGGGATGAAAAGGCTGGCTTATCGAGAACAGTTTAGGTATTTATTCATTCAAGATTAGCAGAATGAAGAGATGATCTCATTGAAACACACAAGATTCTGAGGAAGCTTGACAAGTTGATGTTTCCAATGGTGGGAAAATCTCAAACTGGGGAATATAGTTACAGAATAAGGGGACACTCACATAAAAGTGACATGAGAATAAATTTCTTCTCTCAGAGAATAGTGAATATCTGGAATTCTCTACCCCAAAGAGTTGTGAAGACTAGATCGCTGAAAGTATTTAAAGATATTCCCAGATATTCAAAAATCTTTGAGGTGCTGGTGTTAAAATGGGGTTGAGGCCTGAGACATCACCTCATAGAATGGCAGGGCAGGCTTGGGTGTCTGAATGGCCGACTCCTATTTATGATTTAATGTTTTTACCCTATCTCCAAATCTTTCTCTCCTGTCACTAACCTCATCCCAATTTCTCTATCTCCCCATCCTTTTTATTATTTTCCAGTTGTGACCCCTCCGTCAAGGATTCCCATTTTCCTTTTACATTCTCTCCGGGATTCCCTCCTCATCTTTCCACCTGCCTTTCATTTGCATGTTCATGTGTTTCGCTTCAACAGAACTCCTGTGAAGCCCTCTAGCAACCTTGAATTTTTTCTTCCTTTCCTCTCACCCATTCTTCCTCCACACATATCTCTCTATACACTACCCGTAACATTGTTGTCCTTCCCTATCTGCATATCCTGTCAACCTCTAGACTGTCCCAACTCACTACACCTTTCTCTTCCATCTACTCTACCAGCTCAGCCACATTCCAATTGTTTTGAGCCTTCTAATGGGAAGATTAAACATTGCACTAACTCTTGAATCCTCATTTGCAATGCTATAGAAAATCACTGATCTTAAGATTATTTTCTAAAATAAATTTGCTCATTTTTAAACATGCAGTGGGGTTTCATATGATCCTCTACCATTTGCATTTTGAATGCTTAGCTGAGTAGCTACATAGTTTGTTGCTATTTTGGAGACACACTGTTGAAAGGTTATGTAAGCTTTAGGGCAAGGATATGTGCACTTGATGGTATGGATAGTTTCAATTCACCCAGGACAGTAATCTAAGGCACAAAAACCAAAGTAGTAGGAGACCCAAAAATATAATAGGCATGTATTTATGTTATTTTAACATTGGTTGTACTTGCTATGTTACATCATATTTGTATTTTCTATAACAACAATTATAGTAATAAGTAAGTAAATGAGAAAAAGACTGAGATATGAAACTGCAGCTCCAAATCACAAGCCAAGAAAATTGACACAGTAGAAATCACAACAATCAGCAGTCCTACACAACAGCAGAAATGCACAGAATATTAACATCCAAACTGCAGCAATATTTAAAAGATTGATCAACATGTCCAAACAGGTATGATATCTCAATTTAAAGACTCATGTTTGGCCCAAGGACAGTTATTTACAATGAAGTATATTTTTATTTCACAATTTTCTTCAATAGCAGTATGATCCATCTATCCTAGTGTAAGCAGAGAATAAGATTTAGATTTTCCTCCTCCTACCAAATAAGGTAAAGAAGACTCTGTTCACCAATTTGATGGATATCATTTTCATCAGCTACAAGTCAATAATGTAAGGCAAACCTGTAGTGGGAAACTTATTACATAACCATCAGGGATAAATATGCTGGGCCTTACTGTAGCACAATGCTGTAAGAGGGGGAGGTAATTGGAAGGGAGCAGAAGCATCTTTTGGAAAGACTTGAAACATTTTTTCAATGAAGGCCCAGAGCTGGGCTAATGCCTTCAAGGTTTGAGTGTTAGGGTCCTTTATGAAGTGAACGATTTTTGTATCAGCAAACCAATGGCCTTATGCCACTGATCTAACTCTACTCACTCCTGGTGATCTTAGTAGCTGCACCAGAATATAGAACAATTGGGTCTGTTTTCAGACCTTGCATTGTGAAATGTAGCTTCCTTTGCTGCAGGAGATCAGGTCTAGGCATGCCCACCTGATTTCCTTGAAAATTTAACCCTAAGTGCTGATAGCTTACTTAACCGTGAAAGATTTCCCAAATAAGCCCACTTTATCAACCCCTACATTTGCATTTTCCAGCAAAGGATCACTGCATAGCAATCAGAATTAGGAACCATGTTTTTTACAATTGTTCCCTACCTGGACTAGCCTGTTGAAGCCATTTATTGTTCTACCTCGGATCAGGTAACTCAGCATTTGGTGTTAAGCTATGCACAAAAATGCAGTGATGAAAAGAGACACCTAACTCTCAAGGATGATATCAACATGATAAATCCTAATTGTGATGTTTTCAGTCAAGATTTATGTGAAACATTAGAAATCCTGTACATGGTCTGCCTGCTGAACTAGAATTAATTAATAACCATTATATTTCTTCAATGCATAATGCTATTGCTTTGTCATGCATTTAAATGGAAAAAATTCAAGCTTCTGACCCTCTTTGGTTCCCATAGTCAAACAGAAAAGACAACTTCATTACATCCATAGAACCTAGGATGTCCAGAGTGCGATATCCAGGTTCTCCTGAGTTAGCTGATCTCAAACAGATTAGAAACTGGGAGCTATAAATGGTCTTTGTGCACAAGGTTCTTGTTATTGACTACAACTCTGTGAATATGACTGTAAAGTGAAAACTTGGACTGATAAATGGCAAATAACATTTACACAGAAACCAGTCAATGACCTTGCATGTTCAACAACGTTACCAGTACTGAATCCCCTTACTATTACTGGCAGTCACCATTAATCAGAAACGTTAACTGGCCACTTAAATACTGTGACCATAAGGGTAGGTCAGAGGTTGGGTTTATGATCGCTGGGAGATCAGAAGTGGGCTTGGATGTAACAAATCCTATCACAGAACTCTCTGCAGACATTCCTCCTCCTATGTTATCACAAGAAGCCCAATTGATTTGGCAAAGATTCTGTTTCTATGTATGAAACAACTTACCATCAAGACAGTGCTTTCAGAGCAGGCTAAAACAAAGTTAAAATCACGTCTGAAATATTGATCTGCATACTGTAATGGAAACAGCCTGCCTCAGGAGACTAGGTACTGTCCTAGGCTAACAATAATCTTGATTCCACTGGTATGCAATTGGTCTACATTTCTTTGCATGAGTTTTGATGACTATCACACGATTATTTTCAATTTTGTAAGACACAAATATCACAGGAAAGTTGCTATATTTTAATATTTATCAGGGTCACCAATAAGCCTCAGGGGAGTAAGCTTACATTACCGATCCAGAATGGTCTACAGTTAACCAGTTTGACACAATGTGATTGACTTTTAATGGCTCTGGGGGCAACTTTGGTTGACATTAAATTCTGCCTTGTCAGTGATGTCCACATTCCAAGAACAAATACTTAGATTTAACATTTAATCAGTTACCCAATATTCCCATTGTTCTTTCGAAACAACATGGCTTGTACAAAGTGGGTATGTGGAAGAAAGGATATCATACATGGTATTGTATCTCTTTTAGGGTGCAATGATGAGGTTTGTGATATTGCAGATCATATGCACAGCCTGTATATCAATAAACAGTGACAAAAAAGCAAAAGCATCTTGAATTGGAATAACAGCATTTGTTATCCATAAGCTGTTGTTCCAACTTCCCGTGTCGCGGTTTTGATTTCTCATTGTAATCAGAGGTAAAGGGTGGGCCCTTAAATGCTGTTGTGCTGCAAACAATTTAGTTTTAGAACAATTAGCACTTTGGCTTATCACAGGTCCAATTAATTCCAGGGATTGGAAGCTCTATAGGATTCTACAAACTGGGATTTCCTGAATTTATCAGGATTTTTCTGGTTGGTGCAAACAGGCTCTGGGGCTTTCCAGATTAGGAGCTACAAACTCTCCAGCTTTTGTAGTTGATGGTAGGGTATTGGAGTGAGTGTGCTCTGAACTGTGATATATCAGACATGTTCACCCAGGCAGGGGTCTGACAAGCTCATGGCTAAAATGCACAGTGCATTCATATTCTCTTGGATTTATTCAATCACGTTAAAAGTTAAGGTTCAGAGTGCCACACTAAAGATTTCCTATTATAAGACTAATATGCATGAATATTAGAACTTAGGAAAACATTTAACCATGGCCATGAAGAAACATCAACAATGATCAGCTTGATTGGCACCAAACTGAATGAAACCACCTTGCTTTTCTTTGCTGCAGTCTGGTTCAATGACTGAGTGGTACATGCTTTACTGACAGGATTCAGCGGTATACTGCAATTTTTTTTCAAACTCAGCTTGCTTCATATATTTTGGTTAAGCTAGTATAGTAATATAAAAGGCAGTACATTATCAGGTAAGTTGTTAGTCATACTTTTTCAGTAAACATGTTTATATTATCTTTATTTTCACATTTTTCATAAAGTTAACTGATGATGCCCCGTATTAATGTATGAAGCCGCTGGACTTCTTTCTGCTAATATCCTAAAGGGAAAAAAAATTAGAATAACTTCACAAGGTTAAAGCAATACAATTTTTTTGATAATTCTTGATTTTCTCACACTTCCCTCTCACAACGTAATAATCTTACCTACAAAGACTTTGGGGTTAATTTTGAGATTGGTTGACTGTACAAATTCGGAGAGATAAGAAATAGGAGCAGAAGTAGACTATTCAGCCCGTCAAGACTGCCCTATTATTCAATAAGATCATGGCTGATCTGCGCCAGGCCTCAACTCCTCTTATGCCAGCTGTTCTTAGCCCTCAACTCTTCGATATTTCAAAAATATATTTACCTTCTCTTTAAATATTTCCAGTAATCTGGCCTCTGCAATTCTCTTAGTAGGGAATTACAGACATTCACTACCTCTAGGAGAAGAAATGTGTTTGTATTTTCATAATCAATTTTCTTACCCCACTTCTTCAGATAGTCATGCAATCCTTCATAGCCTGCTTTTATTCCCTTCCCAAGGAAAACCACATTACCACGAAGAAAGCAGCTAATTTTGATTGGAATGTAAGTTCTTTCAAGAGAAAATAATGTTAACATTGCTTTAATTTAAAGAAAGAAAAATATAAAATGATTACAACACCAAGGCCAGCACAGAAGAAGCCAGACACTGGAATGCTTTGTTTCTGACAGTTGATACACAAGAAACAGTTTAGCAGAACAGCAGCTGCAAAGTCTGTGCTCTTAAGAAAAGAATCAGATTTGTATCCAAGCTGATACCAAGTCAGGGAGACACTGATTAGGGTGTACAATCCAACATTTTTAAGATGGAATCATGGACAGCAGAAATCTTGTTACGGAGTTACAAGAGTCCACTGAATATTTTGTCAGAAGAGGTCACAACAAAGGGCACAAGTGTGACAGAAGGGAACAGTCAGATAGGCTCATGAAATTTGTCATTGCCATTACTTCAGTTAAAGCTTTTAAGAAGGATCTTTGGACAGAAGAATAAAATACTGTACCATTGACACATTACTTGTAGTTGGATGCAAGTATGAAACCATAGTGGCAGACCAGCCATAATTATATGCTGTAATAGCTGTGAACATTTTTGCTACAGTCAGCAAAGTGTACAGAACCAACAAAATCTGAAATAGATATGGTTTGTTGCACCTCCCAAAAGTTGTTCAGTTTTTATTAGTAACTATAAAGCATGTGGTACCGATGCACATTGGGCATACATGCGTAGGAGATCTGGTTCCAAAGGCTAACCAACTTCCCAAAACAAACCAACTAGACAGTATATTAGAACATTGGAAGCAAGGAAAGTCTTAAAAAGATGCATAAATGCAAATGTTGTGAGGTTCAGGGTCAACTACGTAAAAGGCAAATTTCAGAAGATTACCAAGCTTTCCATACTGTTCATGTCACATACTATGCCTATGGAATAAGGTAATCAAAAGCATTTACAACAATTGATGACATGTATCTTGAAAAGGGAGGGCAACATACACCAAAAACTAAAACTTCATATTGGAACTAGTGCCAATATATTACCACTATGCATCCCTAAAGACATGTACCTTAGCATGTGGTCTGCCATGGTACCACCTGTGAGAGACCGTCTCACAACTTATAACAGATCACCAATTCCTTGCATTGGCAGAATCACACTGTGGTGTGAATATGCAAGCTCAACTTGACTTTTCAAAATTTTCTACCTAGTAGATACCAATGGTCCAGCAGTGTCAAGACTACTAGTATGCATAGATCTCAGCATGGTCGCAATTCATGAGATTCAAAGCACGCCTACTGAGATGAAACAGACCACATGCAATGTATTTGAATCAGTCAATAGTCTCAAAAGTTTGTACCGATATGAATATAACATAATTGCATGATGCAATGCAAATCATTGATCCTTCAAGAAAGTGCAGTGTGTATATTCAGGGGAAGTTTCAAGCACAACTAAACAAGATGGACTGAGATGGAAGTTCAACTACCACACAGATTGGTGTAGCTCCATAATGTGTGACTTAAAGAAAGAAGTCACAATAAAAGTATACCTATGGCCAAATTATCTCAATCTTTCACGTAAAAGGTCTCCACACAAAATAACTGATGCGAGAACAAATAAAACCTAAAGCTTCCAGAAGAAGATTCTTTTCTAAGCTAGATGTGATGCTTGAATACTGGTCTGTCCATTAAGCAGTGAAATCACAACAGCTCACAACATTTAGGATGACATTTGGATGGTACTTTTCTGATAGTTACCATTTATGGTCTCAGTTAGCCAGGATTGGATTATTGTGAATATATCTAACTGTCTTTAGTAGTTTTCAGTATTGTGGTCATAAGTAAGACAAAGGCAGTGTATGACTACAAACTTAATCTACAAATGAGAGCAGTCCAATAAGGATTACTACTTAACAGCACTAAGTACCAAGTCAAAAGCAGCCAGATAAACTCCTTTGGGTACATTTACTCCATACATGGACTCCATTCCAACACTGGTAAAATTGGGGATATTAGACCAGTGCTGACCCCATAGGGATAGACCATCCATATCCACTATACGCCAATTGTCTTCCTTAACCAATTAAACTACAGTGTCTCTCACCCTGCTTCCTGTTAGGATTCTATTGCATTTATAATGTTCTCTCCCCAGCTATGCCACCTTCCATACCAGTGATTCTAATATATCTTCCTTTTTTCTTAATCAAGGATTCCCTTCAACCATGTTGACAGGGCTCTTGATTCTGTCTGTTGTATTCCCTACAGTTCTGCTCTTCCCCCTTCCTGTTGCTTCCACAGTCTCAAAGGGATCCTCTTGTCCTTACCTTCCTCCAATTGGGTTTCACATTCATCAGACAATCCTCCTCATTCCCTGCTACCTCCATGTAATTCCATTGCCAAACACATCTTCCATTTCTCTTCCAATGCTCTGTGACACTCTGGTCGACTCTTCAACCCACCCAACACTCTTCCATGCTATATTGCTGGAGATGTAACACTTGCAATTTTATCTCCCCCATTCTCACTGTTGTTTCTTTACCTGTCCCATTACATCATCATTACATTGGTCATTTCATCAGTCCTATCTTATAGCCCAGAGATTTCCATTTTTGTTCCTTCCTCCCCTTTGCCTTTATTTCCTCAAACCTGTATATTCAGCACAGGAATATAGGAATTAGAAGTGGGAGGAGGCAATTCAGCCCTTCAAGCCCGCTCCACCATTCATGGCTGATCTTATCCCAGTGTCAACTCCACTTTCCTGCCTGTTCCCCATACCCTTTTATCCTGCTTTTTATCAGAAACATGTCTATTTCTTTCTTGATCTGTTGATTGATTCTGCCTCCACTGCACTCTGGGACAGTGAGTTTCACAGATTCCCAATCCTCTGAGAGGAGTAGTTTCTCCTCATCTCAGTTTTGAACCTACCTCCTCTTACTCTATATCTATGACCTCTTGTACGAGACTGTCCCACAAGGGGGAACATCTGTTCAGCATCCACCTTATCAATCCCCTTTAGCATTTCATATACTTCAATCAGAACCCCCCCACCCCGTCATTTTTCTGGACTCCAGTGAGTATAAGCCTAAGCTATTCAACTGCTCCTCGTACGACAGTCCTTTCATTCCTGGAATCAACCTGGTGAACCTCCTCTGAACTGCTTCCAGTGCCATCACATCCTTCCTCGAGTAAGAAGACCAAAACTGGGCACAATACTCACCAACACCTTATATAACCGTAACAACACTTTTATAATCCAGTCGTCTTACAATAAATGCCAGGATTCCATTTGCCTTTCTTATTACATTCTGCACCTACACACTTTCTTTCTGCGATTCATGCACAAAGACGCACTCTGAATCTGCTTCTCATTTAAATAATAATTTGTCCTTTTATTTTTCCAGCCAAAATGGAAAATCTTGCACTTATCCACATTAAACTCCATCCGCCAGATTTTAGCCCAATCTCCTAGCCTATCAATATCCATCTGTAAGCTCTATACCTCCCCATCACAACCTGCTTTCCCACCTATTTTAATATCATATACAAATTTTGCTATTTTACAGTCTGTCCCTTACAGATCATTTATGTAGATTGTAAATAGTTGAGGTCCAAGAACTGAACTCTGCAGCACCCCACTAGTTATAGTTCACCATCTAGAGAAGAACCACTGCTTTCTGTCAGTCAGTCAGTCTTCTATCCAAGCCAATACTCTAACCTTAACCTCCTGGGATCTAACTTTCTGGATCAGTCTTTATGTGGCATGTTGTCAAATGCCTTATGAAAGTCAAGATATACCACATCCACTGGATCCCAATTATTCACCTTGCTGGTTACATCCTCGAAGAACTCTAGGAGGTTTGTCAAGCACAACTTGCCCTTCATGAAACCGTGCTGACACTGATGAATTGAGCATTGTTTCTCCAAGTGTTCAGTTATTTCCTCCTTTATGATTGACTCCAGCAACTTCCCCACTACAGAAGTCAAACTAGCTGGTCTATAGTTTCCCACCTTTTGCCAATCTCATTTTTTGAACATGGGTGTCACATTAGCATGTTTTCAATCCACTGCTACCTTTCCAGAATCGAGGGAATTTTGGAATATCATAACTAATACATCCACTATTTCCGCTGCCACCTTCTTTAATACCCTAGGGTGCAGGTCATCAGGCACCAGGGATTTACCTGCCTTTAATCCCATCAAGAGACAACAAGGTGCAGAGCTGGATGAACACAGCAGGCCAAGCAGCATCATAGGAGCAGTAAGGCTGACGTTTCAGGCCTAGACCCTTCATCTGATACAATTTAATCCCATCAGTTTACTTAATACCTTCACCAAGTTCTGCTGTAGTAACTGTAGTTTTTGGGAAGAAGTTATTCTCCACAGTAAAAACAGTGACAAAATATTAGTTTAAGTTGTTCTGCCATTTCTGAATTTCCCATTATTACCTCACCATTTTCATCTTCTAAAGGGCCAACATTTACTTTCAATATTCACTTTCTTTTTATATTCTGGTAGAACCTTTTGCTATCAGCATTTATGTTTTCTGTTAATTTCCTTTCATAGTTCATCTTCGCTGTTTTGATTTTGTTTTAAGTAATTGATTGCTGGCATTTAAAGTTCTCCCAGTCCTCCACAGTGCTACTAACTTTTGCAGTATGATATGCCCTTGTTTTTGCCTTTATGTTATCCTTGACATCCTTGTTAAGCCATGGATGATTTTTCACCTTTTCATGATTTTCCTATCAGGAAAATACTTTAATTGAGAGGTATTTAGTATCTCCCTAAGAATTTGCCTTTGTTCTTCAACAATCCTGGCCTTTAATATTTTTGCCCAGTCCACTCGGGCCAACTCCTTCCTCAGGTCTATATAATTACCTCTGCCTAACGCTAAAACTCTCATATGCAACTCTGTTTTCAATCTGAATTTGAAACTCTAGGATGTGGTCGCTCCTTCCCAGAGGATCCTTAACTAAAAGACTATTTATCAATTCTTCCTTGTTACATAATACCAAATCTAAAGTGGCTAATCCTCTGGTTGGCCCCATGACATATTGCTCTAAGAAACAATCCCTCATGCACTCTATGAACCTTTCTTCGAGACTACCCTTGCGAAGTTGATTAATCCAGTCAATATGCATGTTCAAATCACCCAAAATTACCATTGTGCCCTTCTCATATGCAGAGATCAATAGATTTCTAGATATTAAAGATATACTGGGACATGGGGATTATGCAGGAAAATGACATGAAGATGGAAGATCAGCTACGATCTAGAGCAGGCTTGCTGTGCTGAATCACCTATACTGGCTCCTATTTCTTGTGCCCAATGATTTGAACAATGTGAATTCACCATATTTCTCTTTATACAGAGAGTATTATCAGCATTTACTGATTTTATTTCAAATGTCCAGCAACTGCAATATTTTACATTTGTAAACAGTCATTCATCTCTTTATTATTTTGATACATTGCAAAATGACGGCTTTATTTATGTACATAACATCAATACACTTCAAAAGGATTCTGATTGTGATGTACTTCAGAAATTAAATGTAGCATAGCAACTTATTTTCACACTGTCAGGATTCAAATGTCAACCTGTAAAAGTTTATAATGCCAACACCACACCAAGGCTGTGTTCATACTGCATCAAGAGGGCACCAGACCTGGGCTGTATTTACATAGCACCAATAGGGCCCCATTAACATGTTGTAACTGCATCGCATCCACACTGGTATTGCACCAGGGTTGTGTTTACAACACATAGGCATCATACCAGGTTGAGTTACACCACAATATTGCCACTTTGATCATTTCATTTTGTTTTGCTTTGCTTTGTTAATTGGGAGGCTTTCAGAGTTTTAGAACCCTGGATTTTATAGCATCTCAGTGTCAGCTGAACAAAACTTACCTGAGCTCCTCCTTTAATCGGTTATTTGTATTTGTCAGATTTTGATTTCGGACTGATACTGGCACTTCAGGGATAAACCAAGATGCAAGGTACTTGATGCAAATGGCAATATTCTGAAATAGAAATGAAGACAATCGTTTGATAGGATACTGTTATTATGTGTGCATAACTAAGTACCCTACCGTATTAAAAATTATACAGGTAATTCTGATAAGATACAAACCCATGATTAGGATGAACAGAGATATTTGTTACCGTTTAATAAAAGTTATTCCAGACAGAAGATGAATTGAGCCATTTAGAGAACCACACAGAACTAATTGTTCTTTTGAGGTTGGTTAGCAGTGAGGATAACATCCACCCACATCTGAGATAACAAGGTGTAGAGCTGGATGAACGCAGCAGGCCAAGCAGCAGGAAGGCTGACGTTTCGGGCCTAGACCCTT